GAAAGTGCTTTAATTATTATTTTGTTACTCTAATAAAATGCCAAGCCTTGTTTTATTGCTTTAGCACTGCAGTGATCTGGCTACTTTGGAATATCAGTATTTGGAAATAGTAGTTTGAAGATGTTGGTTACAAGTTCAGGTGTTTGCCACTGGGCACTTACTGAGTCCACCTTCCTGGGGAGGCAAGCAAACTTCTCTTCAGGCAGGGTTCTTGTCAGGTGCCTCATTTCCCATAAAAGGATTTCAGTCCTACACCATTTAGGTTGACTGTTAAAAGAATTTGGCTCTGCCCTTAACCATAAGCAATAGGACACTCCAGGTACTTGTACAATAGCACAATGTTGAACTCATTGTCACTTTTTATTCTTATCAAACATTAAGTTGAGATACTGCTGCCCAATGGGTGTACCTACTATAGGGCATTATTAAAGCATGAAAAAACAAAAAATAGTGAAAGAAAATCCTTCAGAATAATTTTAGATTTAAATAGTTATTTTTTAAAAATCAAGTCTTGTTGGAATTTCTTTTACTTATTTTTTATAGTTACTTTTACTCTGATCTATGTGTGTGTGTGTGTGTGTTTCAGGGAAGAGAGAAGTAAGAAATGGGGAGTGCCACTATATAACCTTTTCAGAAGACCTCTGAAGGTCTTATGGAGCCCGGCTTGGGGTAAACAGATTAATGGAGGTCTGTCTCAAGTCTAAGAAATTTATCCATTTCATTCTTTTAGACACTGTACGATCTATCACCAATAGAGATCTGGTTTTTGAATATATCATTTGGGCACCAATATAAAGGCTTTTATCAATTGGAGTTACATAAGAAACATAACTGTGGAAGTTATGGCTATACTTGTATTTACTGTATCTATATTGAAGGTATATCGCTTAGTATAGATTCATCGGGTACACTTTATGAGAACTCATAGGAAACATGTGTTCTGATCTCAGAGCAATTTGTAATTCTCCATAGCAACTGGTTTATTTATCTGATGAATGGTATGAATCATGATAGTGCTCATGTTTTCTCCACTGCACTGGCTTTCCAAAAGACCAGAGCCAACTTACTAGCCCAACTCTGAATTTCTGCATGGGACATCAAGGTCATATAAGCCTACTTTATCCTTTCCTTCCTTGAATTTGAAAATCCATATATTAATTTTTCTAACTATAAATGTAATACATATTTTGTGAGAAAATTTAGAAAAACACATAAATGGATAAAAAAGAAAACATAAATCAGTATGTAATTTTGATGTATATTCTCAAATTATCTGTTTTCCTTAATTGCTTATTTTAATTTCTATTTTGTTTTGCATATTAAATATATTTTTGTAAGCTAGTCTAAATAACTTCCAAAACAAGGCAGAGTATATAGCATTCTAATTTCTGTAATTTATTGAGCAGAGTATTACAGAATGCTTTGTTCATTAGAAGAAAAATTATAATTTTTCTTTTTCATGAGTGTATATGTGAGGATCCAAAATACTATACTCACCTGTTGTAAGAGGAGTAAGGTCTGTGTAGTTGGCCCAACAGCCGCTAAATGGAATTGTCGTATTTCCACTAAGTCCACTGATTTGGTTATTACTGGAATCCTTTAATATGGCCTTCAAAGTCAGTGAAGTAATCCCAACTGAAACACAATTACCCTAAATATAAAAAATAGTAGATAATTTTTAAAATTGTTTTGTTTCCATCGTATTTTTAAAGATATGCAAAACTATTTTTAAAAATGCCTCATTACTAATTTAAAATATGCAGAGGCTCCTTATCCCACCCAAAGAGTTCATAGATAAGGGCAGAAAAGCAAGTTCGTTCAAAAGAAATGTTTTTAAAACAGTAAAGTTCAACTTCTAAGGGTGCCATCCACAGGCTGCCAGCACACCAGAATTAGTAAATTAGTAAATTCTCATCCTCCAGAGTTCATAGCTTACTTCCTTCACTTAAGTAAAATTTTGAGTTATAACTTACATCGGAATCTACTGCCTTTACTGAAGGCTGCTGAGAAAATGGCTGTCCTGGTTGTGCTGCCACCGGCTGAGTGATCACTGAGAGTGAGGACACAAAGGCTACATGATGAACAGGAAACGCAGACCTTTCAACTGGTTGGGCAGTCACCTGTGAATGGACGTGAGTAATGAAGTGGTTTTCACATAATAAACTTCATTCAACAGCAAGCTCATCTTAGCCAGGCTAAGTGTAATATATTCATTGTTTATTAAAAATATGTTCAAAATTATTACAATACCCCCTAGATCAAATTAATGAAGTACTGTTATAAATATTTAAAGCAAAGCACAGTTGAGACCAATGCACAATTTTTTAGAAAATACACTCCTTTTTTCAAACTTCTTTATTACCTTTCTAGTGATCACATAAAAAATAGACAATTAGAAAGACATGCCCTATAAAAACTACCTTGAAATGGAAAAAGAAAGCTGTAATAAGAAATAAGCAACAATATTTTAAATGGCTAAAATGCATTTTTTTCGTTGTTGCATTTTCTTACCTTAGTCCAGCCAGAATCACTTGGGCTGGGGATAGGACTGGTAATAGACATGGAAGAAATATTAAATCCAAAGATATTGCTTGTTTTTCCTAAAATGATAGCTTGACCCAGAATATCAACAATTTCCTGGAGTTGAGATAATTGCATCTGACCTACAGGGAAAGAGTATTATGACATCTGAATTATAACAGAAATGTGAGAACATGTGAGTTTTTTACTTTAGTTTTGTTTTTCATTGCTCCATCATGTTACAGAATTCTAAGGCTTTCTAATTGTATCTGAATTAAACATGACAAAATTATATTAATGAGGCTGGGAAAATAAAAAACTTGGTAGAATATGTTTTAAGCTGAAGCTGAAATTAAAGAAAAAACAAAGGTAGATAAAATAGATACAATAAAAATGAATGAAAATATAATGGTAAAAATAAATGTCTCTTAATACTTTCCATGTCATTCTTTGGTGAAGCACTATCACCTTTATCTCACACCATATACAAAAATCAACTTAAAATGGATTAAAGACTAAATGTAAGACCTGAAACTATGAAATTGCTAGAAAAAAAAAATAGGGAGACATCTCTGTGACACTGGTCTGTGCAATGATTTTTTGAATACAATACCAAAAGCACAGGCAACAAAAGCAAAAATAGACAAACAAGATTACATTAAACTAAAAAGCTTCTGCACAGCCAAGGAAACGATCAACAGAATGAAGAGACAACCTACAAAAAGGGAGAAAATATTTGCAAACTGTACATCTGTTAAGCTTCCAAACATTCAAATCATGTGTTCAGGAAGAGGAGGAGAAAAGAAAAGGTATGGAAAACCTATTTAATGAAATAATAATGGAAAACTTCCCAGGTATAGGGAGAGATATGGACTTTCAGATCTAGGAGGCTCAAAGATCCACAAACAGATTCAACCCAAAAAGATCCTTTCCACAACACATTATAGTCAAACTGGCAAAGGTCAAAAGGACAAAGAGAGAATATTAAAAGAAGCAAGAGAAAAGCATCAAGTCACCTGTAAGGAAGACCCTATCAGACAACAGCAGACTTCTCAACAGAGACTCTATAGGCCAGAAGAAAATAGGATGATATATTCAAAATACTAAAAGAAAAAAAAAAAAAACTGCCAGCCAAGAATACTGTACCAGCAAGGCTATCCTTCAGAAAATGAGGGAAATATAATGTATTTTCCAGACAAACAAAACTGCAGGAGTTCACCACCACACGACCAACCCTACAAGTAATCCTTAAGGAAGTCCTGCATTTGGAATCCAAAAAATGATAATCACTACCACGAATACACAAGAAAGAACAAAACCCACTGGTAGAACAAAAATGCAAATGAGCAAGAGAAAAAACCATCACAAAAATCCATAATGACAATGTAATAATGCCCCTGCTTTATTTCTGAGTTTAGTAATTTCAGTCTTCTCTCTTTTTTTCTAGATAAAGGCTGGCAAATTTTGTTGATCTTTTTAAAGAATCAACTTTCAGTTTTGTTGATTTTCTCCATTGATGAGTTTTGGGGGGCCAGGGGTGGAATGATGGAGTTTGGATGTGTTGTCCCCTCCAAAACACATGTGGAAATTTGATCTCCAATGTGGCTGTGTTGAAAACTGATTGAGTCATGGGAGCGGATCCCTCATGAATGGATTAATGTTCTCCCTGGGGGTGGGAGGAGTTATGAGTGAGTTCTCGCTCTATTAGTTCCTGCAAGACCTTGTTGTTTATAGGACCCTGGCACCTCCTCTCTTTCTCTCTCTCTTGCTTCCTCTCTCCGTGTGATCTGCTTGTACCCACCGGCTGCCTGCCACTTTCCGCCATGAGTAGAAGCAGCCTGAGGCCCACGCCAGATGCAGCGGTGTCCCAGAATCATAAGCCAAATAAACCTCTTTCCTTTATAAATTACCCAGTCTCAGGTATTTCTGTTATAGCAACACAAAACGGACTAAAACACCATCTCAAAGGAGTGAGTGAGTTCTCACTCTCAAGTGATTGGATGAATTACTGCAAGATCAGGTTATTATAATGTGAGGTCACCCCTTGTGTTTTGTCTCTTTTGCATGCGCCTGCTTACCACTCTCACACCCACACTACCACCATGTGATGCCATCTGCCATACTATGATGTAATAAGATGGCCCTCCCCAGATGCAGCCCCTTGACCTTAGATGTCGCAGTCTCCAGAACTGTAAGAAATAAATTTCTTTTCTTTATAAATTAGTCAGTCTGTGGTATTGTTACAGCAACAGCAAATGGACTAAGACACCACGTCTGAAAATTTATGATCAAGTTTTGCATTAAAAGCAATTGAAGAAATGGGACAAGCTAAGAAGTGGAGAAAGAATGCAGAAGGAAAAAAAGAAAATAAATGAATATAGATGGAAGCATGACAGTTGGGGAGGCACACAAAGGCACTGGCCTCCCAGACTCAAAAACTGCTTAATGAGAGTAATAATTACAAAATACAGAATGAGGGAGGGAATGGGCAGAGACACAGGGACAGACACATCTTTCCACACACAAGCAATAAATATCAGAGGGAGAAGACAACAACAGATGGGCAAGTCAGAGTTCACTGGTCCTATTCTTGTATTCTATGCTTGGGGCTCTCAACATAGTCACACACTGGACTCACATAGGGAACTTTAAAAGTACTGATTTCTGGACCCTAACCCAGAGATTCTGATTTCCTTGATCCAGGTGTTAGCCTGGGCATTGAAAGTTTTTAAAAGCTCTCCAAGTCATTCTAATATGCAGCCAAAGTTAATAACCACTGATCTATATGCTTTAAAGTGTTACCACCTGACTTCCACTTCCCATGGAACATGCCGGAGAAACTGTGACAAATGAGAGCTATACCAAGTCTTACTAAAACTACAACCCAGTTCCAGTGCAGCTCAGTTTCTGATTGGTTTGAGGTGATCAGCTCCTTACCCAATATATTTCACAGAAGAAAGGGGAAACCCTATAGCTGATGGAAGATAAAATCATATGGAGCCTCTATTATTATTTTTTTATACACACTGTCCAGCATTTAATAAAAATAAATTACTAGACATAAAAAGAAGCAGGAAAATATAACCAATAATCAAGTGGAAAAATAAACAGTCCCATAAATGATTCTGGTGTAAATCAGAAAAGGACTTTAAATAATTATGATTGATATGTTAAAGAAAATTCGAGAAAAGTAGACACAACAGATGAAAATTCTGAACTGGGAACTGGAATCTCTGAAAGAATAAGATGGAATATTCTAGAACTGAAAAATACCATTATCTGAGAGTAGGAACCCACCAGATGGGTTAAACAGCAAAATCTTCACAACAGAATGCAGGATTAAAGAACTCAAAGATAGCTCGATAGAAAATAACCAAACCAAAGCACAGAGAGAAAGAACAGACCTGAACATGAGAAATGTTAAATAAAATTAAAAGATCTAATGTAAATATTAGATTCTCAGAAGAAGAGGAGAAAATGGAACAGAAGCAATATTTTAAGAGATACATAAATGCTAAAAAGAATGTATATTCTGCAGTTGTTAGATAAAATGCTGCATATGTGTCAATGAGGTCAGATTTATTAATCATGTTTTAAAATTGTTTATATCCTTACTAATGTTTTGGGCTGCTTATTACTGGCAGAGGTGTATTAAAATATCTAACTTTGATTATGAATTTGTCTATTATCCTTTTAGTACATTCGACTTTTGTTTTTTATATATATGTGTGTATATGTATACTTATACATAATTTTTTTTTTTTTGAGGTGCACTTGGCCAGTAGGAGGACCCAAACCCATGACCTCAGTGTTAGAAGGCTGTGCTCTAACCAACTAAGCAGTGGCAGCCCCTTTTTTTTTCTTTATTTATTTTTAGACCATATTATTAGGTATATCCAAATTAAGGGTTGATACTGGCCAGCTGCCAAAAAAGAAAAAAAGAATAACAATAAATTAACATAAATTAAGGGTTATTTTATATTATCATTGAATTCACCCATTTATCATTATGAAATGTTCATTTTTGGTTCTAGCAATACATTTTGACCTAAAGTCTACTTTGTCTGATATTAATGTGGCTACCCCTACTTTGTTTTTATATTATTATTATTATTTGGTGGCTGGCTGGTGCAGGGATCCGGACCCTTGACCTTGGTGTTAGGACACCACGCTCTAACCAACTGAGCTAACCAGCCAGCCTCCCTGCTTTATTTTGCTTAGCCTTCATATCATATATTTTTTCTCATTCTTTTAATTTTTGGGGGGTCCTTATATTTAAAGTGTGTCTCTTGTAAACAGCATATAAAATTGGGCTTTGTTTTTTATTCAGTCTGAAAATCTTTGCCTTTTAATACAGTTTAGTCTTTATACACAAGCTAAGTCTCAACAAGTTTCAAGGACTAGAACAATACAGCATACATTCTCTGACCACATAGAAATTAAACTAGAAATCGATAATAGAAAGATAACTAGAAAAGTCCTCAAGTGTTTGAAAGTCAAGCAACATACTTCTAAATAACCATGGGCCAAAAAAGAAATCACAATGGAAATTAGAAAATGTTTTGAACTGAATGATAATGAAAATATGAAATCAAAACTTATTAAATACAGCTAAAGCAGTGCTGACATGGAAATGTATAGTTCTGTATATATATATTAGAAACAATTAGAGACTTAAAATCAATGACTTAATTTTCTGCCTCAAAAAGCTAGAAAAATAAGAGCAAATTAAAATTTTTTTTAAAAAAATACAAGACTTCTACACTGAAAATTACAAAACATTGCTAAGATAAATTTTAGAAGATCTAAATAGATTACAGGATAAACTATGCTATGTATTGAAAGAATTATTTTCGGGCCGGCCCGTGGCTCACTCGGGAGAGTGCGGTGCTGATAACACCAAAGCCCCGGGTTCAGATCCCACATAGGGATGGCCGGTTCGCTCACTGGCTGAGCGTGGTGCTGACAACACCAAGTCAAGGGTTAAGATCCCCTTACCGGTCATCTTTAAAAAAAAAAAAAAAAAGAAAGAATTATTTTCATTAAAAATGTCAATTTCCGGGCCAGCCCATGGCTCACTCGGTAGAGTGCGGTGCAGATAACACCAAGGCCGTGGGTTCGGATCCCATATAGGGATGGCCGTTTTGCTCACTGGCTGAGCGTGGTGCTGACAACACCAAGCCAGGGGTTGAGATCCCCTTACTGGTCATCTTTTTTTTAAAAAAAAAGTCAATTTCCCCCACATTGACCTATAGATTCAATGCAAACCCAATCAAAATCCCAGCAGGCTTATTCTAGAGGCAGGGCAAGTAGCAGAATGACAACTTAATATGGACATGCAAAGGTCCTTGAATAGTCAAGGCCATCTTGAGGAAGAAAACACCTGGAGAACTTAACACTTCCAGACATCAGGACTTATCCTAACAAGACAATGCAGTGCAAGGACAGACAGACGATAGAACAGAATAGAAATTACTAAATGATCACCTTATAAATACCTACTTGGGAAAAAAGATCCTTGACCTTATACCTCATATCATACACAAAAATTAATTTGAAATAAACCACACCCCTAAATGTGAAAAGTCTAACAATAAAGGTTCTAGAAGAAAATTTAGGAAAATATCTTGGGGTTAAGGAAAGATTTCTTAAAAGGAAACAAAAGGTACCAACCATTAAAAATTGATAAAATTGGACTTCATTAAAATCAAGAACTGCTGTTTATCAAAAGACAATATTAAGAGAATAAAAAAGCAAGCCACAGACTGAGAGAAAATATGTACAATATATGTGTATATGTATTGACAAACAGACTCACAAACAGAATATATAAAGAACTCTTACAAATCCATAAGAAAAAGACAACCCAATTTTTAAAATAAGAAGAGATTCCCAAATCAAATGACCAATAAATTTATGAAAAGGTGTCCAGTAATATTATAGAAATGAAAATTAAAATCACAATGATATACCACTATATATCTACCAGAATGTCTAAATTTAAAATACCTAAAAATACCAAGGTTGTAGATCAACTAAAATTCTCATACATTGCTGCTGGCTGTATAAATTGACACAACCATTTTGGAAAACTGTTTAGCAGTTTCTAATAAAGCTAAATATATAAATGCTCTATTATACATCCAGCAGAAATAGTGCTTATGCCCATCATTGCCATGTTCTTCATAAAAGCCAAACAAATTGCAAGCAACCCAAATGTCTATCAACAGGAGAATGGATAAATAAGTTATAGTATACTCATACAGCAGATTATTACTAGGTAATGAAAGTAAACCAACTATCACTACATGCAACATGGATGACTCTCACAGACATAATGTTAAATGAAAGAAACCAAACACACAAGAGCACATACTGTATAATGTCATTTATATGAAGTTCAAAATCAGGCAATACCATGGTTTATCTTTTGGATAAAGTATTGACTAGAGGGGCAAAAGTGAGCTCTCTGGGCTGCTGAAAAGGTTCTGTATCTTGATGTGGTGCTGGTTACAAAGGTATGTGCATATATAAAAGCTTGCTAGCTGTATACTTATGATTTGTATACTTTATGTAAATACCTCAAAAAAAAAGGAACAAAATAACTGCTATCATCTGTTATCCACTGCTCTTTAAAAATCATGGTGAGCATTTTTTGCAACTTTTCCACTAGTCTTATTGGTAAAGTCTAGTGACTCTATAAGATAGTTTTTGAGCCATAATTCAAAGTCCTTACACATGAAATTTTCCATCCAGACCCTGGTAACACACCCTTTACCCACCCTCAGTGTGTCCAGGAATTTGCAGAATCTCCTACCTGCTCCAACTCCTCCTCAGCATATTTTTGGCGGCTCCGCTCATTCTCAGTACCCTCCCGCAGCTCCTTCAGCCGCTGGGCTTCCTGCTTGGCAAGGTTGATCTCATCGCGCAGCTTCTTCTCCAGATGGACCTTCTCCACTTCCACTGTGCGGTGCTCCTCCTGGGCCTTGTGCAGCCTGGGGGACAATGCAGAGTACTAGAGGAGGCCAGGGAAGGGGGTGCCAGCCAACATGCCATGAGTCATGGCACTGAAGAGGGAAATGAAAGCTCCAGCTCTCGGCATATAGTCTCCCTACTCTACAGACTGACTGGCTGTGAGCTAGCTCTGGGCCAAAAGAAACCATAGTCATTACCCTAATTTCTATGTTGGCCCTCATTTTGCTGCCAGTAATCAAGGCTATGAAGCCAGGTTCTCAAGTTTCTGAATCCCTCCTCACATATTAAAATCACAACAACTACCAGTGTACAAGATATTTCACATTTGTCCTCCTGGAAGATAATGATATATTAGTATCATTATCAGCTTGGTACAAATGTACATACAAAGGCTTAGAAAGGGGAAGTAACTTGCAGGAAGAACTGGGACTATAATTCTAATCTGTATGAATGCAAATCTCATAATTATTCTCCTTACATCAGGGTATCTGGAAGATTCAATAAATGTAGATCATAATGCAAGCTAAACAAAGATCCAGGGAAAACTCAAAGGGCTCATAATATGATTGGGGTGGTGGTAGGGGGCAGGCTTAAGGAAGATGAGAAAGGAACTATTGAGGCCTCTTGAACTCCTAAGTACTTGTTCCCAGACCACAGAAAAATGAAAATCTAGGAAAAAATGAAATTCATAGGAGAGCCCCCTGCTGCCTCCAGGCCCTAAGTTCTTAAGTATATTCCATAGTGGATAAGATCTCAAGGGCATCAATTATAAAGAAAATCTACCCTTGCACCTATCCACACATTCCCTCTGCTCAATGACAAAATCTTCCATCATCTAAGCAAGCCTCATTCCTCCCTCCCTTCTTTCCTCCACATATCTATCTATGTTAACCCATTTATTCAATCACCTATTCATCCATTCATTCACCAAGTTCTATCAAGTGCCTACTAAATGCTGAGTCCCATGCAAACTCCTAAATATATGGAAATAAACCAGAAAACTGTCCCTGCCACTGAGGAGCTTATGATCTAACCCGACAAAGACAAGTAAACAGAAAACTGTATACAGTGTGATGAGTTCTATAATGAAGAAGATATTTAAGGTGTTAGGTGAGCCCAAAGGATGGAATAATCAACTCTGCCTAAAAGGAGTCAGGAAAGGGGAGGCCTGGGCTAGACCCAGAAGAAAGAATTTGCAAGTCCCTTTGGAAGAGGGAAAGGATTTACATACTGTCAGTTCTTCCTACCTTAGTAGGAACCACCACGTTACCAGGGAACCAGGATAGGAGGGGAAAAGGATGATGAAGGAGAGACTTGAGGTATAGAAAAGAAAAGGATCCACAGACAAATGCACTGACCGCTGTTAATTAAGGAGATGAAACTGAAGAGGCAGAAACAGAACTCAGCCTCTGAAAAACCCCACGTCCAGAGTTGTCAGTGAATAAAGCCTCAAAAGATGTGGTGAGACAACCAGGGAGAAAAGAGGAAGAAATGTTAGGCTGCAAGCTTCCTACAGACAAACTGCAGTCTTCTGCCTACTTTGCCACTATAGAGAAAGGGAGCTGAAGCTCCTTGAGATGAACACGAGATGGCACTACATGCATAGCTAAAAATAAATAAGGCACCATTTCCTGCCCATATCTCCTTCCTTTGCTGAATATCCTTCTTTACTCTACTCTTCCATGACCTAACTGCATGAATTACACCATTAGGGATTCAATTCTTCATGAAATATTGTCCTCTCTAAAAGCAGCCTCTCCAGAAAAGCCAATACTATGATATGTCTGTCCTCTCCCTATTAACCGGGAGCTCCTTTAGAGTAGAACTGAGCCTGATCCTCTTTAATAGTCCCAGTAGGGTCTAGTAGAGCTGGAGATCAATAAATATTGTTGGGTTCAGAAACTAGCAAATAAATGTATGATCAAGTACTGCCCCACTCCAAGGCAACAATCAAGTAGCATTTCAAGTAAGAAAATTAGGCAACCTGATTCCAAGTCCTGGCTCCAAGCAGTTGTGTGATTACGGATAACTTTTGCCTGTTAATTTACTTTACAGTAAAATGGGAATCAAAATTCCTGCCAGGCTCAAAAAATTATCTTGAAACCCAGTGAAATCCCAACTGAAATATGTAGCATTATATTTATTTACACAGGGCTAGCAGGTTAGCTCAGTTGGTTAGAGCACTGCCTTGTAACACTAAGGTCAAGGATTCGGATCCCTGTATTGGCCAGCTACCAAAGAAATAAACAAATCAATATTTACACAAAATATCAGGAACTCTGCAAATGAAGCTCTGTGGTGGCTGGCTGGCAGTGCAGGCCTGTTAAAGTAAGGAAGGACAAGGCACATGTGTTCTGTGGACACCATAAGAGGAGGATATGTGTATGCATGTGTGCAAGCCTGTCTGGGGGGATGTGTCTGTCTTTTTCTAAGTGCCATGGTGGTCACTTAGCTCTGGAGGCCTTGGGGAGCAGGGAGGGCTGGGAGCTTAGTTTTATCCCCAAACTTGGAATGTCTCTTGCCTAGATTCTTTTGCCTTTGGAATGAAAACAGTGCATGTTTTTCAGACAAATCAAGTACGCGGAACGCTCGGACAGCAGCAGTTAGCCCCTAGTTGGCAAAGGGCCCAGAACATGGGGCCCAGCAGAGTAGCCAGGAATCAGCTTAGAGATCAGACCCCTCTTACGCCCTAGAACCCCACTCCATAGAAATGATTCTGGTAAGGTTGTTGCCTCATTAAAGGCAGTACCCTGGAGGTGTCAAAATTCCTAGTTTACTGATACGTGACCCTCAGCAAAGCACTTTCTCTCTCCGAGCCTTCATTTCCTTAACTCTACAATAGGGAAAATAATAGTAACTACCACAAAAAATTATGGTAATTAAAAGCAATAAAGCATTTAAATATTGAATAATACTGGCTCATTCGAAATTCTTTCCCCACTCCACCAAAGAAAATAATATGTATCACTTAAAAATAAGAAAAAATACCAGGCTTTATTTCCTTTTACATAGATTCCTGTAAAGACTTCCCAATTCAAGTCCCTTGACCACCCAGAATCATTTTCTAAAAGACAGTCCTGAAGTAGGTTTCTTCCCTTCTCAAAACAAAAACAAAAACAAAAAACAACCAAAAAACCTGACTCTCGATCCCCTTTTGCATCCTACTAAACTTCTCCACATATGTCTTAAGGTCCCAGGGAGCTGGCCCCACCCTATACACTCAATCTTAACTCCCAAGACCCCCAACCCATCTTTCAAGGCCACCTCCTAAGAGTCCCACATCCACTCATCTCCTGCCTCTGCCCTTCTAGTCCTTAGAGTTGTAATCTCATAAGTTGGCACTGAGTCTGCATTAAGTGTGTGCTCACTGCTGCTTCTTATGTATGAGTTTTGTTGGCCCAGGAGCAGAGATTTCCTTACAACTGCCAGCACAGACCCAGTTCCTAAATGTCAGGAAGTATATAGATTGACTGACTAACTGACTGACCGGCACCCTCTTTGCTCAGCTAAATCTTCTGCCATAGTTTTAACTGTCTTATTTCAACAAATTCTCAGACTATCAGAGTTACAAGTGTTCTCCTAGGAGAGCTTAGTGTTCTCCTAGTTCTACCACTTCATATTACCAATGAGGAAATAAGTTCTGGAAAGAAAAGAGATTTACCCAAAGTCAAACAACAAGTCAGTACTTATGAGATTTAGACTCCATACAAGATAGAACTAAGGGGAGTAGGAAGAAAGGTTCCTGAGGTTTCTTTAAGGAACAGTAAATAACAGTTAATTATATCTATTTATAAGCTAAGGGAAGAGTCCAGAGGTAGGACCAAGGATAGAATGACCCCTAACAAGCGATCCAACCACATAAGCTGAAGACCTCTGACGGGCACACATTTCTCCCTCTGAATCTCAGAGAAAGAAAAGATAGAAACAAGCTTCTCCCCAGGAGGAATAACTGCCCAGGGCAACTGGAATGGTAGAAACCTAGGCTCCCAGCCGTTTTGGAAAGATGACACAGCCTGGGCAGCCATGTCAACATGATCTCAGAGGCCAGGTGGCCAACAATCCAGGTAGAAATAGAAATCTCCCAAGAGCTGGCAGCACTAGGGCTGGGGGGGAAGGGGCAGAGCCTTACCTTTCCTGAAGGTCATGCAGACTCTGCTCAGCTCGTTGTAACCCTTCCAAATCCTTCATCATCTTCTTCATGTGCTCTTTGGAGTAACGGTTCTGGATATAGGCAAACCAGCAGCCGCCCACACCAATAACAATAGACACCACCAGCATGAAGTCCTTGAGGTGATTATGGCGGGTCACTGCCAGAGAAGGGAAGGCATGGTGAGTCAAGGTGCCCACTATACACTTAGCCTGGCAGACACCACTGCAACCCCTCCTCTATGAAGCCTTCCCTGAGACACACTCTTCCCACACTATTATATTAAGCTCTGTGCCTCTCTCTCCACTAGTCTAGGCTTACTTTGGAAAGGATGAGAGGATTTAGAGCAATACAGGAAGCTTATTAAATTACATTTCCCTAAGATGCAATGAAAAGGAGAGAACCAGTACCTTCTCAATACATCCCACACATCTCTGGGCTGGAATAAGCCCATGTGACCAGATGCAGTGGCTTCGGTCCTACAGGGTAGGCAAATCTAAGTGCTACAATAGGTAAAAGGAGATGGCTGATATAAAGGGTATAAAGCAAATGTCACAGAGCTGAGGCCTGGCTATAGGACTGAAATTACTGCAGGATCTGGTTCTTCTGGACTACTAGGCCATTCTAGGCACAAGCTCCAAAGCCCAGATCAGGTAAAGGTCTGGAAGTCTTGATCTATAGAGAGCATTTCTAGGCTGTGGCTCAATCCAGAGACCAAGTAGAACAGGAATAGCATCAAGAGTTTGGTATACCTGAGACATTATACATGCCAGGAATTGAGGGGCAGATCTACCTCCAGAGAATGCCTGGCAGCTATTTAGTGAAGCACCAGGGCCCCAGCCATCAGCTGGAGTTCAAAGCAGTGCCCAATCTCCTGAGCAAAATTTAAATGCTAAAGAAGGAATGACACTAGAGGATAAAAGCAAAAGACACATTTTAAGAACTTAGCCAATCAGGATAGGGGCACTCATGGAGCCCGACATTGCGTCCAGCATACCAGAACTGCACCACAGCCCAGGAGACTTGAAAGAAATGTCATAAGTAGAAGAGGGATGCTGCTGTAGCTTCTCTCTGGGTTGTTCCTTGTGCTCAGAGGAGCTCCAGATGTGGGAGTCAGGGGAAAGAAGAGAAAAGTCAGGGCTAATGAACCTCTTTGCACAGCAGATTGCCCTCAGGTAGAGAAGAAGGAGGTAGGACTGGCAGAATCTCAGTGCCTGGTAAGGACAAGGGACTGATGGAAATCCAAAAGGACCCAGGTAGAGCCACCAAGTTGGGAGAGGGTCTACACACTAGGGAAAGACATATGTAGCTAGAAACTGTATAGAGCTGAGGCCCACAGTTTGACAAAAAGGGTTATAGTCATAGCTCCTCATTGAAAGGCTGAGCAGCAGGACATGAAGATGGTAATGGGATCAAAGACAGATTAGCACATCCTATTCCCATCCAAGGAAGAGGATATTTGAGGCCCAGGATGGTAGCCATGTCCTTTAAAATTTATTCCATGCCCTCGGAAAGAAAACTGAGGGTCATCTAGTGGCCATCCCCAAGCTTGCAGGCAGGCCTATACTCCTAGCCATACTCAAGTCCTCACTCTCCTGTCCTTCAGGTCCCAAGAGGAAACATATCTGCAGCACAGTGAGTTGCCTTTCTTTTTGGGACACATCTGCCTCCTCTACAGTCTCTACCAGAGCTTGAGGACTCTTTGTCTCCCTGTTTGTCAAGGACTTTTTTTTTTTTACCTTATTTTATTTTATTTTACTTCTCAATATACATTGTAGATGATTTTCATGCCCCTTTACCCATTCCTCTCCTCCCCACATCACCACCCCCCATCATATCTGTTCACTTGACTTAAATAGTTCAAGGAATTTTTATGGTTATTCTGTCTTCTTCCCCTCCCCCCCTTGATTTGTCAAGGACTTTTTTTTTTACCTTATTTTATTTTATTTTACTTCTCAATATACATTGTAGATGATTTTCATGCCCCTTTACCCATTCCTCTCCTCCCCACATCACTACCCCCCATCATATCTGTTCACTTGACTTAAATAGTTCAAGGAATTTTTATGGTTATTCTGTCTTCTTCCCCTCCCCCCCTTGATTTGTCAAGGACTTTGAATCTTGGTTTCGCAGAGTTTCTAAACTCCAACATTGCCTTTACATTCTTACCAAAACTCAAAGGTACCCTTGTTCAAACAAGACTCCATGCAATGAGCACCCTTTCCCTATTACTTCCAACACTTCAAAGTTCTTAAGCACATGCTGATTGGGCCTAGCTGTTTTATTTGGTCCCTTATCCTACCTGTCCAGATCAATTTGGAACCAGATTCTATTATTTTTCCCAGCTCATATTATCATCCAAGTCATGAATAAAAATACTGAATGACCAGGACTACAGACAGGATCTAACGGTCACCCCCTACCTCTAAGGTAATACTGTTCCACCTATCGGTATCCTGTGAATTTCTTCAACGAGTTTTGATTCTACTTAAATGTACAAGCATCTACCCCATCCATCTCTCTGCCTTGTCAAATGCATAGCTGAAGTCCAGATATACTGCCTGCCACATTCCATAAGCTACCAAGGTTGGTGGGAAAAAGATGAGTCTAATCCGGCTGATTTGCTTTTTACGGCTCCTAGTGATCATTACTTGCCTGTATATCAGTGCTCAGCACAGCATCAACTAGCATACAGAAGTCAATCAATAAATCTTTGTGGGACTGAATCTTTACTAATAAACCTCAGGTGTGACAATATCTTCCTCCCCTTAATCCACATAAGAAAGGAAGGGAAATAGAGAAAATATAAAATGTATCAGGCATTTATATTTATAATCTCTAATCATCACAACTACTCTACAACGTACAGTATTAGTATTCCAACTCTATAGATCAGGAAACTGAGGCTCCATGAGAACACTGACTTGCTGGAGTTCAAAAAAGTGATAGAGCTGTGTTCAAATCCAGATTTGCCTGACTGTATTGTCTTTCCATTACACCACACTCCTTCACTACAACTATCACACTCATGCAGCAAGTATAGTTTCTGCTTTGTTACAGGCAAACATCTCTCACCATGGAGATGTATATATTACCTTGTCCTGGCTTGAGTGTGACTCTAAGAGTTCCAAGGCCTGAGTTTTCCCCCAAACAATATCCTGGGAGCTGACTGTGGCATTACCATCAGGGCAGTGAAGACCTAAAGGCCAATGGCCAGGCCTTAAGTTTAAATATAAGGCCTCATGTAGAGAAATTCTTAAGCCATCAAAGGAAGCATCCTGTACTAAGTATTAGGAAGCATAGGTTCTATACTGCCCCTTCCCCAATTTGTTATGAAATTCATTTCCCCTATCTGGACTTCAGCTTCCTCAGCTGTAAAATGCATTATCACAGAATTGCTGAAGAGATTGAATGCATGGGTGTAAATCACAGTGCTTTAAGGTATGCTGGAAATATTGAGATGGACATATCCAGGGGGAAATCAAGATATGGATGTGGAGTTTGAGGAAGAGGAAGGAACAGGAGAAGCAGATGTAAGAATTTTCAGGACCTTTCAGTGGTGCCCTGGGCTGAACTGCATACCCCTAAAGGAATATATGAATCATTATGTAGAAAAAGAGAAGAAAATAGGTAAGTCAAGAGTCTAGTCTATGCCTTAAGTAATCATGTACTTCTTTCCACCATAATCCCATTCCCATTCTTCAATTCCTACCATCTTCCCAGCCTACCACAGTCCACAGAAATCCTTCCAATCCTTCTCTGAACTAGGATTCCCTGATCAACACATTCTTCAGACAGATAAAACATGGGTTATCTCTTACTATCCCAGGAACTGCCTTGTGTGTTTTTTAACTTTCATGCAAGTCACTTCTGATAGTCTGTGAGTTCCACAGGGCCGGGGCATAAGACTTATTTATCTCTGTAGCCCCACACTTAGCATAGGGTCTGACCAGAGCAGGTACTCAGCAAAGGTGGAAAGGAGAGAAAAAGGGAAGAATAAAGGGAAATTTTAGATGGAAAGGGGAGGGGGGTAAAATACAAAGTGCATGTAGAAGGCAAATACCAGCTCCTGGGGACAAGAAAAGTGCAGCCAGTTGTACTGCATAGCCCCTACACAAACTCAGCTCTCAAATCCATCTAATACCCAGTAAACACTGCCAGGGAGGTTTCGGGAAAACAGATGTGGCTGGGTAGGTGAACAGAGTTAACCCACGGGACCTGGCTGGGACCTAGGGAATCAGAGGATGGCAGAATTCCCAGCCTGAATGCTGCAAACAGATTTTAGCAAAATGAGACCAACTTTTAACACCATCAGACTTGAGGCAGGAAAGATGGGTATAAACAAGTGAGATACTGACAATATTAAAAGAGTCAGGGGTAATGATGAGAATTTTCAGCGTACCAGTTAAAACTGAGAAAGTGAGCCTCCAATCATTATCACCTTCTGGAATCCCCTCCCCGATCTATTCTCTCCACTCTCTCCACTGCCCACAATATACTGGCAGATATAGATATTTACCTCTCACCACCAAAATATGTGTTTGGAATTTCTTTTGTCATTTATACAGTTCTGTGCTGGGGTGTCTGTTTAATCTGTAAGAGCTACTCCTGGGCCCTCCTCTCTTCTCTTTAGAGCCCAACAAATGCTTTAGCTGCCTCAACTATCTAGAGATATTCCATAGGTAGCACTTCTCCCCCAAACCAAGCTGGGACAAATTCTTCTCCCAAATCCTCTCACTCCTATAGTCTGAAGAGGCCCAGCCTCTTTCTGTATAATATAGCATACATCTCCTAATACCTATTCTTTGCTGTATCTTAAGCTGAGTGTTGATGACAGATAGATAAAGCTGTCTCTGCCCTCGAGAAGTTCCCAGCTTAAAAGATAAAAGACAGGGAAACAGAGTGTTGTAAAGAAGGCAGGTAAAAAGGGCTATGGGTTCCCAGAGGAGAATAAAAGGAAAGTGTTGAGTATGCCTGAGAAGAGGCTGGAAAAGCATCTTGAAGGCTTAAAGGGTGAGGTGGAGCATAACAGAAAGGAGAGAGAGGGTAAGGATACAGCTACAGAGACCACAGAAAGCTTTGCCAGAGAGACAGCCATCCTGCTCACTGGGGACTTTTCTCTATTATCCGAGCCACAGAAGAATGAAGATAAGACATAGT